TCCCTGATTTAATGTACTATTAAGATGCAGAATTCTATGGAAAAGAATTTCTACCGTGGAATGTCTTTGTCACTAGACTAACTTTGTTACTAGACTAACTGATCTAGACTGTATGATAGCATAACATAGGCTAGGTAAATCAAAAGAGTTCCTTTAGGATATTACTGGGAAAAATGGCAAGAACTTGTTGGTCTATATCAGGACTGGCTATTTACACACCAAAAATTTTGGTCATGCTTGTGAGGCATTTACTATGACAATTTTGGTGGGTGTTACCTACTTTTTATATAGGCTTATATCTTAAAATATTCCAGAGATACAGTTTTAAAATTTATGTATTTTTAAAAATTAATTTGACCAGAGAGGGACAGAATGAGAGAGAGAGAGAGAAAGAGCAGGAAAGAGAAAGCAAGCCGCCAAGTCCGGGACTTGAACCAGTCAACCATGTGGGAGGTCCAACGCTCTTAACCACCACGCCACCCTGCTGCCCCCAATACTTGATTTTCTTATCGAAAAATAAATCCTCTATGTTGCTCTGCCCTCTTTTCATGTTAAGAGATTCCAGAAGAATTCAGAAGCCAGGGTGGAACCATAACTAAGTTGAATAGATGCCACCAAGGGAAATGAGAGCACAAGACTGCACAGTGGATTTCTAAGCCAAAGAATCAATAGCTCTGTAACTTTATTAATGAAACAGACTGTATAATCAGCAATCCTACAAAGTCAAAAAATAAAAAAGTTAAGAGTTTTTAAAACTATTTATAGCCAGGGGTCACAATCATTACTTGCCCTCAATCCCCAGCATCATCCTCATCTGGAGGTCAGATCTGATAGGCCTGATCATGAGGAGTAAATGAAAAATGTTTCTGAAGACCTAAAATGGCAGTTGAAATAAATCTGCACTAAAGTTGTAACTTTATTTCTTAAATTTCTATTTAATTTACTTGATTTCCTATCCCAGGGAAGACGAGAAATAGTAATACAGGCATAGGGACTACAGCAATCATACGGTCAGCTTCCAGAAGTAACAGTCTAACGCTGAGGGAGGAGACAACACACTTGCAAAATAAATAACAGATCCAACTATTACACAGTACAATAATAGACATTTATAAAATGACCTTAAATGTAAACATAATTAAATATTTGCTATCCTATTTATAAAAGTATGGCTGTTATAGATTATTTTAACTGATATTTTCAACTACAGTGGCTGAAAAAAGTTAGATTTGGAGCTGGAAAGAACAAGTTTAAGTTAATGGAAAAACTCTTGTGTGACATATGATATATATAATTCTCTGATGTTACAGGACACAGTGTTAACTGTATTATACATTTAAGAAATTATCATTAAAAAAATAATTGTCAGGCTGGTCCAAGGCCTGGTGATTAAGGTGGCTGGATCCCAGAAGACAAACAATATGGTTTGAGTTCCAAATCTGGTGGCTTGAAAAACATGCTGGACACATAAACATGCATGCCCAACATTCTGAAAAGAGGGAGAAATAGAGGAGAAGGGTGTGGCATGACTAATCCCCATGGGGGTACTTTCTTGCTTTCCCTCTTTATTTCTCTCTCCAAGAAGTGCATGTACCCCTTGGAATTTTTTTTTTTTAATTGTTAAAGAATAAAGCAAGTATTTCGACTGTTTTCTAGCCAAGGCACATACCATAAAATTAATACTTAATCTGACAGGTAACTAAGATTTATCAGGGTGTATGTAAACCACATGTGCAGCACTGTTCTACCACTCTGTGGAGCTGCTATTGGCCAAACAGACCTGAACATTTCTGTAATTTACAGATTTTTATAAGCTATAGTAACATAGACCGTGGCTGACCCAATGGTTGTTGCCCAGGACATATTTACTGAATGAATGACAACTATATTCTTGTTTCATAATTCTGTATTTTAATAATTTACTTACTTTTGTCACTTCCTCTGCCCAAATCTAGCCAGCATTAAAAATCAGAGAAAAATATAGATCATGAAAGAAAGTTGGAATTTAACATTTTCTACAACTTATTATAGAAAAGTATAAATATTTTAATTCAAATGGCATACTCTTTGTTTCCAGAATCATATTAACAGATTAAACACAGTAGTAACTAAATCAGTATAGTTTAACATACTGTGAAAGTATGCCCTTTATGAGTATTACCAACTTTTAAATCTCACGCTAATTCTATAAATTACTAAGAATAACAGTTCCCCCCAAACTGACCTCTTCTCTTAGTTTCTCAGTTTTCTCATCTGTAAAATGAGAGGTCTGGACTAAATGACTCCTAATTTCTCATTTAGGTATAAATTTTAGAAAATAAAAATAAATCAAGGATAAATGACACTGAATACTGATAAAGCATTTTTTTTAGGGGAACAAGAAACTTGAGAGGTATAATCCACTTAAAATTACTAGTGTGAAATGTATCTTATTATAAGTAGATACATTACTAGTGAAATAAATGCTTAATAAATGAAACAAAGTCCTACTATTAATACCCATTTAGGAGGATATTTTTACTTCAGACAAAACCCATGATTTATATACTACATTAGCAATGACTGAAATATCCTCATACTTCTCATTTACTTATAGATAGGACAATGGAAACATATGAATGCATTCTCTTGCTATCCAAGGAAAGCCCTAATTTAAGCCAGGGCTTCAACAACTATTGTTTTAAAATCCCTACAACACCCACAGATACACTTTACATAGTCTGTACAATAATCTTTCCTATTATACAAATATTTTCCCTGCTTTTAGTTCAGTGCTAATGGAATAAAAGCAGTCTAGTGGAAGTAATGTAGCCATGAGTATAATGCCAAATGCTCTATTATATGTGTATTGGCTAATGTACAAAAAACCTGGCAATGCTGAGATCTTATAACTTTCTATTTTATTAAAGGGATAACTTGTATTATCTCAATCGTTTCCTCAAATTGACCTCAATATATACATATTGGATACCATGTATAAAACAAAACAATTCTAGACCAGCCCTGTAGCACAACAGTTAAGCGCTGTGCATAGAAAGCCTGATCCCACATGGGTGACAGTAGTTCCAGGCAGTTTGAAAAATACACCTGGTGACACTGGAGAGTGTGCATGCATGCCCATAATCTTGACGGGAAGAAAAAAAAGAAAAAAAGAAAGGATTGCATTGGGGGGTAGACTGGGCTCTCTCTCTGGTGAGCATGCACATTCACTAGCAGTGACCTGGAATGGCAGAAGAAATCGATTCTATGTTGAGTGTGGGTAAAAAAAATGTTGAAGCTACTGAGAAGCAAAGTCAGTATGTATAACTTACTCCTTTCTCTAAGTAAATTTTGTTAATTTTCTTTGAAAAAGTAAAGTTATGAAGTTCTAGCTTAAATCAGCATCTTTTACTAGTTATAGAAAGGTTATCATGTATAAATTCAGATTCTAAAATCTGTATTTGGCATAACCAATATATTTGGCAATTATAACACACAAATTCTTTTCAATTTCCAGTATCAGTTCAGCTAGTGTTTTTCCTTTATATATATATATATAATTTTTTTTTTTAGACATAATGAATGCATGGCTTCAACTCTTATTAGATTTTTACATGCTGCTAATAGCAAGAGAAGGCACTTTATTCAAGATGTAGAAAACACAGTAGGCCAACAAACCTTCAGCCATTTTACATGCAGGAAGTTGAGCATGTAAGAGAAATTTACCATAATGTTATCTCCTTCAAGGCGTGCTGAGTTTAGTTGCTTATGTGCATAGGTAAGAGACAAAGAACATATTATACCGATCAACACAGTGAAACAAGTTACTTCTGTACAATAAAGAACACGCTAAACAAGCATTAAAAGGGCTGACTAAATGTTTTTTCCAACTTAAAAGAACCCTGGCTATATTGATCGTTTTACGAAAATTTCATATAATGGCATCTAGTCATTTTTTTCCCAAAGATTCACTTTTTTAAAACAAAAAATATGGGTGAATCTTGAGTTTAAATTAGAATTATTTAGGGAAAATGCATCATTGAAAACTGCCAGTTATCTAAAAGCTATTCTGCCTGCCTACCTACTCGAAGATCATTTTGTTATGAATTTATGATGCTTTCAACCCCATTCTCTTTCAGTCAACCTTAGCCAGGTCTTAGCCAGCATACCTTGAGGAAATATGGGAGGCATGTCAACACTTATATTAAAACTTTTAATTCAGATATGTATACATATAAAGTTAAGGTTATAGAAAGGAACAATAAATTTATTGAATTTATAAAGATTTAGATCACTGTGGAAATGCTTAAGTGGCTAGAGGGACATGTACTATATAATGTTTCTTGAAGAAATAATTTCCATCAAATCTGAATGCTCAAAAGTAACAGAGGTCTAAACTTCTGAAATACTGGAGGGATTTTTTTCCCTCCCATTAACAAAACCCTAAAATAATTAAAAAAAAATTATATTAGACTATGATTAGGTTAATAAATGTAGATGCTTTATAATTAAGTGTATCAGTTATATTCTGTCCTTGTTCCTCTTATCTAAATTTTACCATATATATGAACTATTAATATTTTCAAAACTCTATTTTTGTTCATTGTGAAACATTAAAATAGGTTTTTTTCTTTTCTACTCAGCTCTTATATTTTTGAGAAATGGCTTTGATGTTGCTTTGCTATTCTTCAACATGCTAACTAATGAATGGAAGTGAGTAATATAGCAGTATTAGATACAAGTAGAAATTTTTACTTATAGGGCTCAATCATTAAAAACTTTATTCTACTATACTAGATTGTGGTCTGAGGGCAGCAGAGATTTTTGGATTATTTATCTACGAACTTTTCTTGAGTAGAGCATCTTGAACCAAATAAACATTTGATAAGTACAGAATTTAAAGAGGTCAGAAGAAACTAGTATATGCTTTTCAAAAAGACTGCTGATATGCAAAGGTCCCAAGCCTTACTAGTAGATGAGTAACTATTCACAAAACAATTAATCCAAAGAAATTTACAAAGAAGTGAAATCAATGAAAGTCTGCTAACTAGGAACTAGAAAATGTTGTCTAAGAAAGAAAAAAGAAGAGCAAGCCCAAACTTCTAGCACTTTCTTTTGCTCTGGAGAGAAATTTTTGCTACAAGGTGCATGTACTCACTGGAGAGACAGAGACAGAGAGAAATCAGCTCCCCCTAAGGGGAGATGGCCATGCTGCAGTCTCTTCTTCCTCATTCTCCTCTTGGGATTCTGGGCACACACACAGGCTTGCCCAGTATGAGTTTCAAGCCACCGGGTCTGGGATTTGAACCATGGTGAACTATGTAGGAGTCCAGCACCTTAATCACTAAACCAGGACCTGCTGGCCCCCGGTGGTTTCTATTTGTCTTTATTTTTCACATACACAGAAGAGAAATATGGAAGGGAAAAAGGATCACCATACATAGGTATGCCTCAAGGCTTTAAATTAAGAAGACTTTTTGTTTCCAAAGTAATCTCAGATTTACTGCTATAAAATTTGAAGAAAATGAGTGGGTTTCCTTATTCCTAAAATAAGGAAATGTGAATTTTTATGTAGACTAATATTTTTAATATGTGGCTACAGTTAAATTTTAATTTATGTAATATAGAAAATCTAAAAGAATGTGTATATATGAAATTGCTGAATGAAGTCATTTGTATGAACTTTCATTTTAATTTTAAAACATGAATTTCTATGGGAAAAATTGTGTCTTCAAAAATACACAGCACAGTGCCAACATTTAGAGTGGTGTTTAAGGTGGATGGATCCCATATGGCCCAACTCATGGTTTGAATCCCAGACCTGGCAGCTTGAGAAACTCTTTCGTGAGTGGGTGATTATGTGTCCAAAATCCTGAAAGGAGAGATGAAGGAGAAGGGATTGCAGCGTAACTATTTCCCATGGTGGGGTGTACTTTCTTTCTTTCTGTCTCTTTCCAGTGAGCACAGCATCCTCAAAAAAAGAAAAAAAAAAAAAAAAAAAGCACAGAAAAATAGCAAAGTTTTTTTTCTAGATGTCAAAAAACCCATCTCTCAAAATTTATTATATTTAGTTTTTTTGTTTTTTTTTTTTGCAGAGATTTTTTGCTATAGGGGGCATGCGCTCGCCAGACACTCAGAGACATAGAGACAAAGAGAGAAATCACCCCCCAGGGGGGATGGCCACGCCGCAATCCCTTCTCCTCCATTTTCCTCTCGGGATCATCTTGGGCACACATGCACACGCGCCCGGCGTGAGTTTTAAGCCACCGGGTCCGGGACACGAACTGCAGTCAACTACATGGGAGGTCCAGCGACATAGCCATTACGCTAACTGCTGGTTCCCTATATTTAGTTTTTATACATTTTAACACAGTGGTAAAATAATTTAGAATAATCAAAGGACTTTGTTTAATGATAAATCTATGTGTTTCCTGTTATCTTTCCAGGTTTAAATTAAAAAAAAAAAAAAGCAGACTATCATTATCCTCTAGCAGTGTTTGGTATAGTTGTGTTCTGAAACCTGACAACAGTATTTGTACTACATGATCACCAGTGGGTAAATCTGTAGGCACTGTGAGTTGAGAAATTCTATTTCAGTTCAAACATTTCCAAATGATCCTGATCTTTTTTCCCCCCGATTATGAAATCAGTACTTAAAACTAATTTAAATGTTAATATATAAATTTATCTCTAGCAACTAGAAACTATAAACTAATCTAGAGTCTTTTGCCATCTACAGTGTCATTTTCAAAGTTTTGACTCTGTGGAGTCTGTTTAGGGTAGTTATGTTGTTCTTGATGATGTCATGAGAAACTGTGAAATGAAAATATTGATGAATTTGGAATTAATGTCTTAACAAAGATGGATCTTCTCTAGCAGCAGAAGCTAGTATGTAATCTCCAGAAGGGGAGTCCTATAAAAAAAATAACTTATTCTATTTATACAGGATGTTGGGGTAATATCATAAGACATCATCACTGGGGTCGGCCCGTGGCCTGGTGGGCTAAGGTGGTTGGATCCCACTTGGCTGACCAGGCCCTTAGACCCAGATTCAGCGACTTGGAAAAACATGTTGGGTATATGTGTGTGTGCCCAAAATCTCAAAAGGAGGGATTAATGGAGAAGAAGGGACTGTGGTGTGACCATGCCCCCATGGGGGATGCTCTTGCCACCCCCACTCACCTGCGGTGAGATCAGAAGCACTTTAGCAAATGAAAAAAAAAAAAAAAAAAGACCAAGTTGCGAGTTTTAAATTTCTTTCTAAACCAATTCGCAACCTTTCTTCCCCCAAACAAGAGGCTACAAGACTTCCACCAGCACTGTACTAACACTCTCTAAGGCAGTGATTTTTAATGGTGGCAGTGGTGGAGAGTAGGAAACAGACGCGGTGGGATGTCAAGCCTCTTAACAAAACATATCCTTAGCTCAAATTAATATCAACTTGTCAGCTTCCTCTAAGAAATTCAAACTTGTTTATACTGTACTATCTCAAAAGTGTTCTGATTCAAATCAGATCAATCTTTTCAAACTTTGGAATGGAAACACAGACAATATAACTATTAGAATAACTAAAAAGCTTGTAAATAAAACCTTTTAAGTAAGTTTTACATAAAATCATAGAATTATTATGTCTAATACATACCTAGTCATTTTTAAAAGACTATTCTGAAGTTGATGTTCTGAAAAATATACCATAACTTAATTATCCAAATGGGTTTCCATCCCCACCCCTTCAGAATAGATACTTGGCAGTCCATGCTGCCGTGTATGGTTGTGAAACAATTCTTGGATGACTATTCCTTTAGTCAATTCGAGTCATAATGTGGAACGGAAACTCATCCAATTTTTAAGTACAAAGTATTCTTGAGCTTGGTTCAGTCTCATCTTAATTACTGTCTATGTTTATTTCTGAACATGATAAATCCATCTCCAAAAGTATACTTCCTATCATCACTGAAGGTAAAGAACATGGCATAGCTTTAAGACCTATCCTAAATTTTATTTTTTAACAACAGCTGTATTGCCGAGCACCACCTCTCTGTATGACTACTCTGCACGGATATAGATGCACTAAGTTCTGTTAAAGTTGTTTAAAAAATACAAAAACGAGAACTTAAATCATATTCTAGTCTTTATGACAGGCTGTGTCTTGCATGGCATATTAGTAAAATATCTTACAAACCTTATAAACATAAAGTGTTTATTAAAAAACACTACTTACTGAATTTCTAGTTTCTGCAGCTTTTGCCTTTTTTAGTCTGGTTTTTGCAGCATCCAAATCCAGTCTCTTATTTTGCAATAGTTTCCTTTCTTTCTATAAACATAGAAAAGAAAAAGTAAAAGCTAAAGATGCTAAAATCCTGGGAAAGTATACACATTTAAACTATTATCCTCCATTAAATATATGTATTATTTGATAAACAAAGATCTACTATTACAAAATTGGCTACAAAATGACTACTTAGAGGTCTGACTTCCCATACTTTCTTTTAAAATTGTTTTCGTTTTTAAAATGATCAAGACATTCTAGAGGTCTGGGAAATCTGTAAAGGATGGCAGGTGTTAGTAGTAACAAAGCAATGTTAGCTTTGATATTTTACCAGTTTGCCCCTCGAGAAACATCTGGCAATATCATTTTGGTTGTCACAACCGGGGAAAGGATGTTACTGGCATCTACTGGATAGAAGCCAGAGCTGCTGCTAAACATCTGACAGTGTAATACAACTCTCACAGCAAAGAATTATTTGGCCCAATGTCAGCAATGGCCAGGTTGAGAAACCCTGTTACAGACTATCCATAGTGCATATGGTGAAGGAGTCATGGGCCTAGTGCAGGTCTCCTCAATGCCCTCTGTGACCTAACCCAATGATGGGGAGGCTGCTCTAAAAGCATCAGAGCACCGAATACAACTCAGCTACTCCAAAACGGAGTTTCAAATTATAGAATGGATAATGAATTATTATTAGTATAGCATCTTGGACTATTTCATGAGAACATCAAGCTTCTGTATAATAGGAAAGTTCATTATAATTCAAGTTTGCTTTATAAATTCTTAGACTTCATCCTACTTGTTGACAAGCTAGTATCTTTTCAATCGTGTTTTAACTTGATGGTTCTTCTGTCTCAGCCCAAATACTTGTTTATATAAAGGTTAGTTTATTATAAACATACTGAATAATTCTATGATACCTGAAAATGAGAACGCCACAAATTAAAGTTTGTGGGTGTATTTACAATAAAGAGCAGCCTTGCTAAAAAACTTAGGGGAAAAGAATGTAGATTTTCACTCTCCAACACTAACAAAATGAGTTAAACTAAAAAATACAGATTAATAATTAGGTTTGAAAAAAAAGTGATAAAATGTTTATTTCTTATACTTCTGGAATTAAAAAATAACAATATGAAAAGAAGATAATTATACTTCTGGGTATAAAGACATTAAGTATAAAGGCCAGGAACATACCTTCCAATAATTAGGTTTCTAGCTCTCAGTTTAAATGAATAAATCACATGGCTGTACCATGGAGATCATCTTAGAAACCACCCTATAGATTTTACTGCTGGTAATGAATAAGAATAGATACAGGCATTTTAGTAACACTGTGGGACACACAAATTAAGTCAATACCATCAATAGTTCTTTATTTTATTAATAGTTTAGTTTTGTGTTCTGGTGAACATGCACCTAACGAAGTCACTTAAATTTTTAAATCTATATCTAAACACTTATTAAAAAGATATTTACTTATTAAAAACTGCAAGTATATATCTAAATTATTTTACTAAAAAAGGGAATTTTTTCAACTCACTGCAATTGTTTTGTAATCTCCTTCTATAAAGTTTCTTAAAGGAGTAAGAAAATTTAAGGCTGATGTTTGAATAAGCTCTCTGTCTGCTGATCCAATTCGTTTCTGTGTTTCTCCACATTTAATAAGGGCACTACCTGCAAAAGAAAAAAAGTTTTCTTTTTTTTAAACCATTGTTGGTAATGACAGAAAATAAAATCATGTATAGATAAATTAGCAGTTTGATTTGCTTACAAGTTAGCTGTCACTTGTTCATTTATGTAAAATCAAATAGAATGAACTATAATTAAGGTACTTTTATTTTAAATGTAAATTTAAGATTATAAATATTAGACCAACAGGTGGCAAAGTGGTTCAGGCCCTGGACTCCCACATGGTTGACCCTTTGGGGATGGCACAATATTTACAGCCACGTTCAAAGAATATAGTCATATTTGTAATACTGTAATGCCGAGATCAGCAGGTGGCATGGCGGTTAAGGTACTGGACTCCCACATGGCTGATTATGGTTCAAGTCTCGGACCTAGTGGTTTTCTTCCTCACTTTTTCTCTTTCTTTCTCACCTTCTCTCTCTCTGGTGAACGCCTATAGCAAATTAAAAAATAAATAGATAAGATAATTCTTAAAAAAAATTTTTTTTGAGAGAGGTTTTTGCTATAGGGTGCGTGGGCTCGCCAAAAAGATAGACAGACACAGAGAGACAGAAAGCGAGAAATCACCCCCTGGGGGGATGGTCACACCGCAATCCCTTCTCCTCCTGGGATCTTGGGCATGTGTGCTCATTCACCTGGCGTGAGTTTTATGCCACTGGGTCTGGTACTCGAACTGCAGTCGACTACATAGGAGTCCAGTGACATAGCCATTACGCCAACTGCTGGTCCCTCTTAAAAATTTTTAAAAAGTGTAATGCTTATAATATTTTAGTATGTAGATTAAGTAACAATTTGTTTCCTGTTTCTATAATTATACATATGTCTTAAGTTTAAATAAAAGTTTATATGTAGGTTAAAAGTTCTTATAATACATAAACACTAATATTTAAATAAGTCAAGTACAGTGGAAAAGTATAGGTAGGAAGTAGAGTAGAAAGAAGAGGAACCCAAAACCAGAGTTCTTCTCTCAGTTTTACTTCTAATAACCTTTAGCTCTGTGGAGCTTAATTCCTTCACACTAGATTGAGAGTAGATCTGATCAGTAAGAAAGTAGTAACAGCACAGTGCTTAAGAGCTGCCTCTGGATACAGACAGACCTGCCTTTGAATTACCACCTATGTGATCCTCTATGAATTATTTAACTTCTCCAAGCCTCAGTTTCCTTGTCTTTAAAACAGACATAAGAGAATTTACATTATAGGAGGATGTAAGTGAGGATTTGCTGAAATGACACATAAATATAAACATACTGTATAGTGCTTAGCCTGATACTTAGAATATTCGATTTTTAGCTATTAACAATCACTAACAATAGGTTCACAAACATCAATGTCAATAATCCAGGTGGTCACTAGAATTACTAGAAGTGTAAATAGATTATGCAGATTTAAAAAGGAAAATCTAGACCCATTCTAATAATCAAACTCCATTAAGCTTCAGGCTTGATTAAGATAGGAAGTCTCCATATATCTTTATGATCCCAGTAACTAACTGAGCCTGACACAAGGGGACAATAAAACATCTGTTTAATGTGTAAAGTTTTTCTAAAAATTACCAGCTAAAATTTTAAAATAATTTTAAATTTTTATTAAATTTTAAGCATTTTGAGACTTCTGAAAGAATTCGATTTTCAAGAATTTATAAACGTTTCAAAGTTAAACATCTGAAAAACAAGTGCATATGTTAATGTCACTATATTTACTTTCTTCTGACACGAAGATTACAAAAACTTTAAATGCATTGAATCTCATGATTTATGAGCTATTTCATAGGTCAGAGCTATCTGCGGAAAGTCATTTAATTTACTTGCCATTTCATATCCAAATAAGGGCCAATTTCTTGCATAAGTCTTACTAAATTACCAGCCATGAAAAATGGAGATAGAAGCAAAAGATACCTGAATCATGCTATAAGAAAATTAGATCTGAATGACAATAAAGACATACAAGCTTGGAGTTGTACAATAAAAAACTCAATACAGGGACCAGTAGTTAGTGTAATGGCTATGTCGCTGGACTCCCATGTAGTCAACCATAGTTCGTGTCCTGGACCCAGTGGCTTAAAACTCATGCTGGGCACACATGCGTGTGTGCCCAAGATCCCGAGAGGAGAATGGAGGAGAAGGGACTGCAGCGTGGCCATCCCCCTTGGGAGGTGATTTCTCGCTTTCTGTCTCTCTGTCTGTCTGGGGAGTGCACACACCCTATAGCAAAAACCTCTCAAAAACAAAAAACAAAAAACAAAAAACTCAACACAGTATTGAAACAAATAAAATGCAATCACATAAAATTTAAAATATGTAAGTATTAGGTCATTTGGGAAGTCAAGACATTTTTCTATGGTTTTCTAAGCAAAAATGTATCATGACTTTCTTGACGACCAAGTAGAAAATAAAAATAAAATGTAATCCAAACATCCAGAAATAACCACGGTTAATATTATTTTTGGTTATGATACTACAAATTTATAACAAAAGCACTAGTGATTTGTTCAAGCACTTACTATGTGCCCTATATGTTTAATATAAAGTAAGCTCTCAAGAATGTCAAAAAAAGTTTAAGTAGGGAGACCAGCAGACGGCGTAATGGTTATGTCACTGTACTCCCATGTAGTAGGGTGCTATTTGTGTCCCAGATCCGGCAATGTGACACTCACGCTGGGCATGTGTACATGTGTACCAAGATCCCAAGGGGAGAATGGAGAAGGGACAGCAGTGTGGACATTCCCCCTGGGCGGTGATTGCTTTCTTTCTCTCCAGCAAGTACATATTCCCCATGGCAAAAACTTCTCTCTCAAAATAAAAAAGGAGACATATATAAACAATAACTGTAATATATCACGAGACCTATTACAACAGCAGTGTTTTAAGATCAATGGGAATACATTGAAAAGTCTATTTACCTTCCTAGAACTAAAAAAGATGGGAATTATCTAAATATATCCTGAGGTATATTAAACTGAACTATACATACTTTCTCATCTCACCCAAAAATTTAACATAATAAATTCAAAGTTAAACTGATTCTACTACTACGTCAATGAGATCTCTAAGTAGTAAAAATCTAAAAAGAAAGACACTCCTTATCAGCATTTCACTTACCATAAGCTGTTCCTGGACCAAACTCAGTCCCTGCATCAATCATGTATTGTCCCAAAAGTTCTGGGTTGTTTACGCGACTTGGAGCTTTTCTATCCAGCTTCTCATAAACAAATTCTTCTATCCTGGCATCTATAAGAAAGATTAAAAGTATCAGTTATTTCAGAAAGCAAAGTTTTAAAAAGACTGTTTTGCTCCCTATCGGCCATTTACCACTTCTTAAATATGAAATTACCATTCATTCAAATATATTTTTTAATATATAATTTTTTATGTTACAGTATTATACAATTCTAAGAAACTGAAATTCTAGAAATGTGATAAAATATCTTGGCACCAACACATTTTAAAATAAAGCTGAAACTATTGAGTTTTTTATGGGATTTTTAAGTTCCAGAAAAGAACTGACAGTGATTCTCTAAATAGCTAGTGTAGTTGCCTTTGTCCTATATTTTGAGCATTTTAAACTCTGAATATATGTTCACAAATTCAAAATTAGGTATTTCAACTAAGAAAATGGAGATAACAAGTACCTATAACGCCCTGAACACCTTCCACATAAGCACATGCTCTCTCTTTCTCTTATCTAGTGTCTACATATAGGTACAGAAGCTTAAAGAATAGAACAATCCAGGCTTGGAAAAGTCTATGGACAGGTTACCAACATGATACTTTGGCTTTAGGTTTTGTTTTGTTTTGTTTTTTACCACCCAAGAGCAAGGAATTTCAGAGATGAATGGAAAAAGTGGTTGAAGTTTCCAGATACAATGATTAAATATAAATTAAAACTAACCACACACTTCCAAGAAGCTAAGGCACATAGGTTTCCTTTTAAACACCTTACATAGATTCCTACATAACTGAAAGTTCCACACAGTGCACTGAAATTTAAAAAATGAGCTGAACCAGTAACAGAAACACTTCAGGAGCTGTCAAAATGGTATACTGGGACCAGCAGTTAGCGTAATGGCTATGTCGCTGGACTCCCACGTAGTCGACCGCGGTTCGAGGCCCGGACCCGGTGGCTTAAACTCACGCCGGGCGCATGTGCGTGCGTGCCCAAGATCCCGAGAGGAGAATGGAGGAGAAGGGATTGCGGCATGGCCATCCCCCCGAGGGGTGATTTCCTGCTTTCTGTCTCTCTGTCTCTCTCTGTCTGGTGAGCGCACGGGCCCTATGGCAAAAACCTCTCAAAAAAAAAAAGGTATATAAAATAGTGTGTTGGAATAATACTCGCTTTTGTGATAGACTCTGGTACATAATCAGAAGAGATTTTTAAGGAGGAATTTCAAAACCTTTAAATTAGTTAAAACCAAAATGAGTCATTTCGAAACAACCATTTACAAGATACTAACTATATTTTAGAATTTCATTCTCTGACTGTGATACTTGGCATCGACTACTTTTTTACCTATCTGGTTAAACATTTAAGGTTGAGTCTTATGTTGATTTCATTCAGTTACTAAAACACTTAATATATTAATTAATAAATATTTCATTTCAATAGGTCACTAGTAGGTCATAATAAACCTTAACAAAATATGCAGGCAATTCTGTTGTAATGCAATATATATTTCTGCACAAAATATTTCTGAAAACTCCAGGTTCTGAAAAATCATATACTAAAGAAAATAGCTTACAAGAAAAAGAAGGTTGGGTCTGACCATTCAAAATTTATATAACTTGGGGCCAGCAAGTGGCCTGGTGTTTAGGGTGCTAGACTCCCACATGGATGATCATGGTTTGAGTCCCAGACCTAGTGGCTTGCTTTGTCATTTTCCCTCTCTCTCTCTGGTGGGCCCTACAGAAAATTAAAAATTAATAATAAAAAAATAAAATTAATAATTCTTTAAAAAATTATATAACTTTATAATCAACATAAACAAAACCCAGTAATAATTCTTTTGCCACTTCATAATAGGAATGAGAGTAGAGAGATATATACATATTTCTGTTTACCAGTCCTGTATGAGCTTATTTTTATTAATAAAATCATTTTTTAATTAACTTTTATTTATTTATTTATTTAAATATGACCAGAGAGTACCAGAGTGAGAGAGAGAAAAAGAGAGAGACAAAGTGAGAAAGCAAGCTGCCAGGTCTGGGTTTTGAACCTTGATCAGCTGTTTGGGAGCCCAGCACCCTTAACCAACTGCCCGCCCCTGAGCTCATTTGTTATTCTGGAAAAAAAATAAGTTTACAATAGATTGCATATGTGAGGATCTCTGCACAGAGCAAGAGCAAAAGGAAAAAAAAGTCTACTACTTTTTAAAAGTGCTGTGGTATAAATTTAAATGGCTTTAAGTGGATAATAATACCATATGGTATCCAAAGACAATGGGCTTAACTTAAAATGCAAAAGACTTATTTTAAAAGGTCACTACTATTTAAAATGGCACCGAATTACTAATATTTATATAGTACTTGAAGTTTAAGTTAGTATCTAAAAGTAAGCTTATGGCATTTCACAACAAGGGCACAATAACACTTGGGGACAGAGAAAGAAAGAAGGAATGCTTTTGTCCTCCCATTTTAACATGTAAAGTTCATAGTCAAACAACTGCAGATGTAAATACACGTGGTTCTAGTCCAAGTTCTACTTCTAATTAGCAATGCTACATTGGATAAGATGCTAACTTCTGGGGGCCAGCAGATGGGGTAGTGGTTATGTAGCTGGACTCCCTTACATGGCCAACCATGGTTCAAGTCCTAGACCCAGTGGCTTGCAAGTCAGGCTGGGCGCATGTGCATGGGTACCTAAGATCCCAGGAGAAGAATGGAGGAGAAGGGATTGCAGGGTGGTTATCCCTCCGGGGAGTGATTTCTCCTTTTTCCTCTGTCTCTTTCCTCCCTGCCCCACACACGGCACTAACTCTAAGACCAAAATCTCTTAAACAACAAATGAAAAATATGCTATTTCTGAGTTTCACTGAATAAACCTTAGTTTTGAAGATAAGTCTTTCATCTTATTTGCAAGGTTATTAATTTGAGTAATCTGAAAATCAAATGGAATAATTTATGTGAACATGTTAAACTTAAACAAAAAATCGGTAACTATTTCAGCTTCTCTGTAACTTTCCCTCAATATGAGGGCAGTTCTTCCCTGGACGAAAAAGGAAAATGTATTTATCTTCACAGCCCCAATGGCTCTTAAAATTCAAAGTCACTCCCTGTAATTGAGGCTTCAAGAAGATTCTATAGAGGCCTGAAAAATGTTATTTGTAAATTTGTTAGAGGGTACACAGGAAAAGTGTTTTTATGTTTATAACCTCTTCTTCACCAAAAGTACACACACAAAATTAACTATATATCCTCAAGCCAAGCTAAAAAATTCTACATTTTCAAATGGTCATTACAGTTTTTAACATTAAACCCACTGAACAGTATTTAACCCACTAACAATACTTAAAGTAGATAAGAGATAAGTTTCTTACTTGGATTTGGCTGCAGTAACACTTCAGTTTGCTTCATTATTTTTTCTGTCCATATTTTGGTACATTCAGCTTTGCTAAGGAGGTTCTCTAAGTGAGCATCCAATTCTGTCTTCTCTGCCTGGCCAAGCTTTTCTTCTGTAAACTGTTATTAAAAAAAATTAAATATACCTCAAAATTTTTTTTTAAATATCAAACATATAAAGCAAATGTATCTAAGCAATCTTATACATACAATTGTTCAAAATATGTATATAAACAACTGTCTATTTTTAAAAATAATTATTATATTTACGTTTATTTATTCATTTACATTAATTTGTCCAGAAAGAGAAAGAGCAAGAGAGGGAGAGAGAGAGAGGGAAAGTGAAAAAGCAAGCCACCAGGTCCAGAACTCGAACTGTAGTCAGCTATGTGGGAGTCCAGTGCCCTTAACCACCATGCCACCTTCAAGCCCTGTAACTGTACGTTTAAGTACAATCATTTTAAAATAAAAACTTCAGGTTTGTTTGTAAACTGCTGTTTATGAATGTTTTTCTTTTTGCCATTATGGTAATTTATCTATACCTCTTTTGTGGCAATAATAACTAAGGTTAGTTAGTTCTGCTAAATGCATGATGTAAATTCTGTGGAAAATCTAGCATTATTGTTTAATATATAAAATACATAAATATTTCTTACATAGAAAGGCAGGACACCATAACGGTCAGGGGTAAAATCTTGAGAGTCAATTGGACCTAAATTTGAATCCTTACTACACTGTTAACTGTGACCTGAGCAACTTTCTGAATGTTTTGTCTTTAGCATATTCTAGTGTAAAAGAGAGACAATATGTATCTTTTAATTTTTCAAGATTAGACCAGGGATTATGTGTATAAATCACTTTGTTTAGTGTCAGTAATTTTTTTTTTTTTTGAGAGGTTTTTCGCTATAGGGCGCGTGCGCTTGCCAGACAGAGAGAGAGAGACAGAAGGCGAGAAATCACCCCCCAGAGGGGATGGTCATGCCGCAATCCCTTCTCCTCCATTCTCCTCTCGGGATCTTGGGCATGCATGCACATGCGCCCGGCGTGAGTTTTAAGCCACCGGGTCCGGGACGCGAACCGCAGTCGACTACGTGGAAGTCCAGCGACATAGCCATTACGCTAACTGCTGGTTCCAGTGTCAGTAATTAATTTTAAACTCAAAAAGAGCTGTTTAGTTTGTTGTGGTTTATATATTATAGGCACTTTAATCACATCTAGTTAGACAGGCCTCTTACGGGATGCTTTGGGAAATCATCATTTAAGTTGTTTCTTCAGGATATGTTTCAGCAATTTACTTATAGACCAGCTTTTGTAACATATCCTATCATACTGTGGAGCCATCTTTTATAAAATACACATGCGATATATCATTCAATTGAGTACATTGGTGTCTGAGGAAAGGTAGCACTGCCTATGCAGTAATACAGAAAAAAAACTTCGGTGAAGATCCTATGGATCTTCTGGACACTTAAACATCAAAGATGATGACTCAGGGTGTTTATCATGTATAATTTCCTGTAGAATGTGACTTCTCCCCACCTTAACACAGCATGATTACTAGTTCTAACTCAGTCATGACTCATTTCTAGTTACAAACCGCATTTACCTTGCCATTCCCCTCACTTTTTGAAATAGTTTTTCTTTAAATTGCCAAAGGATGTGTGCACCCATCAAAGAGAGATAGCACCTGCCAGTGAGATATGGTCAAGCTGCAATTCTTTTTCTTCCATTCTTCTTTCACGTGAGGATTTGGGGCATGCATACACATGTATCTGGTATGTTTTACAAGCTGCTGGGACAGGGATTCACACCAAAGTCGGCTATGTGGACTCTGACTTCTTCAACTGATAAACTATGGGACTGGCCCAAGCCCTCTTAGTCCTTTTTTCGAAAGATTTTTTCTTTAAGGCACATGCACTCATCAGAGACAGAGAGACAGAAAGTGAGAAATCACTCCCTGAAGGGATGGATGGGATTTTGGGCATGCACGCACATGTGCCCAGTATGAGTTTTAAGCTGGCAAATCCAGGATTCAAACTGTGGTCGACTACGTGGGAGTCCGGCAAGGTAAGCATTACATCATCTGCTGGACCCCCTCTCTTATTTCTTGAAAATCTCTTCTATTTTCTAAATTTTAACAGCTATTTCTTTCAGCATCCTTCTCAGTCTAATAACTTTGTTGATTATTAGTACTTTTAGCTTAAGGGTCCTTTTCAATTTTATTCTTAAAACTTCTGGTTACAATCTCCATTGAATGTCCTGTTTAGGGGCTAGAAATAACAGATTAGAGGGGCCTGTGGGTGGTGCAGTGGTTAAGGCACTGGATTCTCATGGGCAATCACAGTTCAAGTTCTGGGTGTAGAGGCTTGTATCTCACTTTCCCTTTCTCCCACTCTCTCTCCTTGTCTCTCCTTGGTCAAATAAAAAAAAATAATAATGATAATAATGGGACCAGCAGATAGCGTAATGGTTCCATGCTAGACTTCCATGTAGTTGACTGTAGTTTGAGTCCTGGACCCAGTGGCTTAAAAGTCATGCTGGGCGCATGTGCATGAGTGCCCAAAGTCCCAAGAGAATAATGGAGAAGAAGGGATTGTAGCGTGTCCAATCCCCTGGTGTGTGTGTGTGTGTGTGTGTGTGTGTGTGTGTGTGTGTGTTTTCTCTCTTTCTGTCTCTCTGGTGAGCACATGCACCCAACAGCAAAAATCTCTCTTAAGAAATAATAAATAGAGTTAAACAAACAATTCTTGAAAAATAGAACAGTAACAGATTAGATAGCTTTTGGAGAGCTTTAGGTCTTTTTGAGACTGGCCTGTAACCAAGCCCTCACCCAACTGGTGGAACTGAGAATAGCAGTTGTCAAAGTTATTGCCTAAAACCATAAACTTGCAGTATACTGCAAATAAGGATTGAGCAGTGGCAAAAGGAAAACTTGCTCCCATTTCCGTTAGATAAACTATGCAAACTCATTCTTAAGACAGAAAGTGGTATTCTTTACAGAACCTGGAAAATCCTAAACATAAGCCTACAGAGGTATAGATGAGAACTTAATGTATTTGAAATCTACTGAAAATTAGAATGTCTCTCAGAAAAGCAAATCCATAGGAAGGGAAGACAGGAAACAGTGCAGGCAAACTTCATGTATAAAGAATGATCTAAAAAATTATATTTAGCAGCTTGAAAGCTGTAATCACATGCATAAATTTCCCTTTAGTAAGCAAATATTTTGATTTATTTGTTCATCCCATACATTACTTTAACAAACATTTACACGGACTAGACATTAAGCACATGGAGGCTACAAAACAGACAAGGTTCCTACTTCTAGAAATTTCTAATAGGGAAGACAAACAATAAACAAATCAACAGTCTAATAATAAAGATACAAAGATATAAGCTGATGGACAGAGACCAACAAAGGTGATTCTATTGTTTCTGTGTAACATAATAAATCCAAGTACAGAGGAAGAATTCATTCTTGGGGGAGGACAAAAAAAAGAGGAAGGTTTCAGTGGGAAAGGGATGGGTGACTTGGGCCTAGAAGGACAGTAGGAGTTTGAGAAGGGTGAAATGGAGGTGGTTAGAGAAACAGCATCTCTGAGCAGGGGACAAATGTCCTTAGGCTGCATAATAAGATAGATAAAGATCTTAGAGAAGACTATATAGTTCTCTGGTGATTTATCTCCCAGTTGCACTATTTCCATAGGACCATCAGCACCACCTTTATGTATACTACATACTAACTGCCTTGTAGAAATCCTCATATTTAATAACAAAAGTAGCTTAATAATAGAAAAATTGATAATTAAAAAAAATCAGCATTTATTGGGTCAGACTTTGTATAAGGCACCCTTTTTAAAACTAGAAAACACAGTCTGTTATATAGCAGAACTAAATGAAAAAAAAATATTATCTAAGCAGCACAATACTATAGACTTTTTTGTTCCAATACACAAAATCTTAAATGGTATCCAACAGATGTTTTAGAAACATACGTGTTCTAAAAGTAGAGTAGAAATCACTAAAAAATGTTGATAAATAGTGATTAAACAAATACTGATGATAGCTTGGCCAGCTAGTGGCATGGTGATTAATGTGGCTGGATCCCACATGGCCATTGGTGCAGTTCGAGTTTCAGACCAGGCAGCTTAAAAAGCATGCACAGTGCATGTGCTTACAGGCCCAAAATCCTGAAAGGAGGGAGGGATGGAGGAGAAGGGACTGCAGTGTGACCATGCCCCATGGGGGGGAAGTGCTTCCTCAATTCCAGCCTCTGTCTCTCTTAGTGAGTGCACACACTCTCTGGCAAAATTTAAAGAAAGAAAAAAGTAAGAAAGAATGAGTTTATCCAATCCATATTAGGATTCAGGGTAAGTTTTCTCCTGACACCATTTTAGAGAACCAATAATTAGAAAGTGAATTACTTGGAAAATAAACATTTCAATTTTTCAGGCCTAAAGGCCTGCTTTTATAATCAATATTTTGTGACTCTCATATTATTTCTCATTTAATACATTATTTTACTGAAAAAAGGCAGTATGAAAGTATAATAGAGCAAGGGTGGGCATTTGTAACAAGTCATTTATCTGTATGTCTGAGGAAGAAACAAAAAAAAGTCACGACTTATAAATAAGAAGATCCTGCAAGTGCAATGAGTAGCTTTTTTTTTTTTTTAAATTTACTATTTTAGTTCAGAAGAACTAAAACAGAACAATACAAGGAACCCTTACATAGGAGAGAATTTGAGTGCAGAAAAGCAGCTTAGAAAATAAGTTATGTGGGGAGGTCCACATGAGCAACGTATTTAAGTACCAATTATAAATTCTACCTGATGTTTACTTGCATTTTTTAAGAGTGAAAACACTTGTTTTTCATTCTACCCATATCTGTGCTTCACATTTCAGTACATTATATATGATTTTATCTTTTTTTAATGTTTTCTTTTGCAACAAAATCATTTATGTCTTTCTTATACTTGTGTTTTCTTCCTTTTTCTTGTTCTTTGTTTAAGTTTTTGCCATATGGCACATGCTTTCACCAGAGAGAGAGGGGAAAAGTGAGAAAGCACTCCCCAATCCCCAACCCCCCCTCCCCCAGAAGATGGCCATGCTACAATTCTTTCTCCTTGACTTTCCT